GTGAATTTTCTTTGACCTTTATTTCTTCGTTTCACTGGAATGAAAAAGCAAAAAACTTTTCAAATCCTAAAAAACCAGCCATTTTTCTAGAGAACAATGCCTTTTTATAAATTTTACTGGACATACTTTCACAGACGGCATGTCCTGAGCAGCTACGATAAACTGGCAGAATTATTCTCCTAGTCTCAAGTTCACCGTAATCTAGTCAACCTAGATTCTGAAAAGATTGGAAACAATTCCTCCCTCCTCCCCCTCCCCGCGCCCTAGAAGAATATCGAGTATTTGACCTACACAGTGGCAGCCGGTGTGTAAAAAGTCCAAGCTCTCTTCAGCCCAGAGGGATGAAAGTGCAGGTTGGCCTGGGCGATGCCGAGCATGGTTTGAACCACGGACTATGTGTATGTGCTATTGCGCCTTTCGCCATTACACTACATCCGCCCTATTGTAGAATACACTAGTGAGGATATTACTTGCGGATGTATCATGCTCGGTAAAGGTTGCTCTAAAGCTCACAGCGAAAACGAAGAATTTGATACAGGAAGTACTGCGTTTACTATGGCTGTAACCGTAAGGAACTGTAATCAGTGTAAGTTTCGGAGGACGACGATCTTAGTTGTGCAACGCTCCTGTAGCGCAGCGATGGTCTTTTCTGAAAGCATGAAAACGATATAAATAAAAGCTTACTTTCAACTGACCAAGTAACCCAGATAGAGTGGCGTTAATCTGCACGGCGGTGTCTTGCATTTGTGCCATCTGATCGAAGTACGGAGAATTGGTAGCGTTCACGGACGCCTCGAGAAAGTTGATTTCACCAATTAGGCTAGAAAAATTGCTTACAAGGCTTGTTCACGAGTACGCTCTCCTTAATTCCGAAGCAGTCTTGATCGTCGACAATATATGTAGGAGGGGTCATTCCTAACAATCAACTCTAATAAACATAAAAACAAAGAAGAAACAGAATAAAACAATCAGACAATCAAAAAAGAAAGGCAGACGCCGAAGAACATTACGTCCTATCGTTGGCGTGGAGGCGGGCTGGGTACAGTAATTGCAGCTTGAGGCCGCGGGACAACTAAAAAAGATTCGCCGCATGCAGCAAAGCGAGCGTGGGAAATCGGGGAGAAGCTATGTCTTTCACGAGACACAAATGTATGTAGGTGCTGTTAGGCCAAATGCCTCCGAAAGGCAGAGATGCCGACTGTTTATATCCACCACTTGTCTAGCAATGAACATGGCATTCGTTGTAGGCCTTCCTAGCACGAAGCTGATTCGCTTCTATAAGATCGACACTATTTCATTCAATCTTGAATCGACTGACTGGTCGTGGAGTATCATCGTGTGCACAATAAACCTAATCTCCTGGTAGATGGAACACTCCATCGCGTACTCCTTCTCCTGAACATGGTAACAATAGTACCACTACTCCTGGCACACGGGACTCTTCCTTCAGTGGTCAGTGGTCCGGATTCTGGTGAGCCAATTAATCGTTTGCCCGTTTAGCGTCTTCCATGTCGGTACGACAATCGGACCATTCGCTTTTCCAAACTTCATCTCCCCTATTACCTGGAAGACATCATTCCCTGTAAGGAGTGCGATGGGGCCTACCGTCGCCTCACTTGAGAACAGTTCCCACCTAGAAGTTCCTAGTCTACGAGCTCGTCCGAGCATCTCCATTCCAACGCCTGTCTTTAACTGGATTCTAGGATGGCAACCTCACAGTTCTTTACAGCCTTCACAAATTTGTCTCCTTTTCGACCATCGAGCTTCATCCTGCGAGGCGTTCAGCTTTCCGTACACTTCACCTTCGCAGCAGTAGCTTGGCCGGCTTTTTGCAACTTTTGCACGTGACCAGGCTTTCCGGGCCCCACACCTTCTGCCAACGCTTGTAGCTTCTTTCTTCTGCTTCACGACACTTTGGACGTTATCATTGTAGTACCATGCTACCTTTATCATCTGAATCCACCCTACGTATCAGTCAACGCTTCTTTTGTACACACAGAATGTTTTCTAGTTCACTTGTTCCATGATCGCTGCACCGCTACCTGAGGATCCAAGAAACCGGTCTTTATCACCCATCAATTGAGGTTACCCTTTTCTGCTCGATGTAACATCCACCATAGGAATCTATTCCTATTTTTTACCATTGTGGAAGGGAACCGCTGGTGGGGATGGTTCTGCGTTAGGCAGAGCCCTGACATCTTCGAGAGTTGGAAGGGACGATCATCTTACAACCACATTCTTCTAAATTAGTAAAGAAGTTTCACAGCGCCAGAAATTGGGCTGATTCGATCTTGAACTTGAAGTTTTAGGAAAATTTACCTCTGTACTTCATTGCTCAGAGCTACGCTTCTCTGAAGTAAGAGCTTGCCATCGACCACTGTTTTATCATTCTCCATATAAAACGATGTCAAAGGAAAAGAAGGGGTCGTGGTAGTTGTTGATGCTGCAACACTAGAATCGCTTAGAATTTTCATATGCCTTCAAGTTTGCTAACGCTTCCTGCTAGAAATACATTTCTAAATGCTGCTCACGACGAAAATTTCAAGGGCACAATTTTGGACTAGACTTAGGCTCCTCCTGGAAGAGACACCAACCTCAACATATACTCTTCCACTACTGTTTTCCTCTCCTGACCTTCTGAATGGCAAAATAGGAGTGAAAGTGATTTAGTCGGAAATTGCCGTTCAAACCCAATAACCGACGTTTGTTTCATTCATGGTGTCGACTGACCGCACAGTGGAAGGCGCAGTGGACTGCGCATTGAAAATAATGGATGTTGATGAGCCACATGTTGAAGCATTTCGAAAAGTTCGGGGACGTTTCGTAGGAGCTGTCCACGGTTGAGCTGCTGCAACGACGAATGGTGTAGTAGACAGCGATGTGGACTTCGTTTTGGGACGGCTGGGCTGGGTTGATGGTTCGGATCCTCAAAGCGCTGCCGTTTTTGCATTTTATGCTGCCACCTCCGGATTGATTCCACATTGCACTAGGGCTCCTGGATCATGAGCACAGGCTCATTGAAGACCTCAGGGATTCCAAATCATGGATGCCAAATTTGTTCAAGAATGGGTTCTACGATCAAGGCGGGTCACGCGTTTTGTGACCACAGGGAACCTTCGATGCAGACAGAAGGTAGAGCAGAAGGCAAATGATTTCGTGAAAAGCGTAAGGGAAGAGATGAAGAAGTTCCCTCTACCTGCCTCAAATACACTACGCACCTCATCACCTAAATAGGCCGAAAAGAATTTTGCTAGTTTCCTGCAATGGAGGTGAAAGTAGCTGACTTGGACTATCGTCGGAAAAGTAGCTCCCTCCCTCATGCCACCGATAGTCTCTGTCACTACAAGCATATCGTTTGCCACGGGTATGGACGACGTCATCAATGATTTGATCCTGTTGTTCCCTTAAAATGTTTAGTGCGAATTTTCGCCGTCAGATCTTCAAAAAATGAAGGAAACAAACTTCAAAAGGACCGTATCACCCTGGAACAACATGCCTGCAACGTGGCTTTTCATGTTGATCGCTTCAATCGAGTCTTCAGTAAGACTTTTCCCAACAGTCTTTTCTTTAGCAAGTCGGCTCACGACGACAAGTTTCTTCAAACATTTCACTGTAGCTCTACATCGGACCATGCTTTTGCTGGCTGTTAACTTCTTTTGTAGCCCCAATAAAAACTATTGGAGGATTGTTGAATACACAGGTGTTTCTAAACTGTGCGGTAAGTTTTGAGCAGCTTTGCAGTGATAGAGAGAGCAAAAAAAGGAAGCCAGATAGAAAAGCCGGTCTCAATGGAAAAGGCAAGATAAGTTAAGTATAGTAACAAGAGAGAAAATACACTTGGAGGAATTCAGAAATAGGGAAAGAGATTGATGGAAAGAGCTGACAAGTGGAAGGGTTTCGAAGATTCGTGGTAGAAGTAATTTTTGAACATTCGTAACACCCTCCGGCGTTATCCTTATTTGTCATCACAGTGAATGTATGACCTTTTTTGAACACCCTACAACACGACGTCACGTGACAAGGGACGATTTTTTTGGAACATTTCAGCAACAAAAAGAGTAGGGCAGGGGGGCTCAACACAAAACAGCGATGACTGAGATCCCAGCTGATTTCTTCACGTGCCTTTTCAAAACACCCCTGCTGCATGCTTATGCATGGCCTGACTGTGAGATGGCCGAATCATATGCCTCCTGCACTACCTCCTGTCTGCAACTTAGGTTCTTTATAATCACGAAACGCGTAACCAGCCGTGATCTTAGGCCATCTTCTCGAACAAATTTGGCAATCCATGATTTGGATGCGCTAATGTATTCAATGAGCCTGGGCTCACGATTCAGGAGCCCTGGTGTAATATGGAGCCAATCTGGAGGTGGCAGCATAAAATGAAAGACACACAGCGCATCGAGGATCCGAACCATCGACCCAGCCTGGTCATCCCAACGCGAAGTCCACATCGCTGTCTACTACACCATCCGTCGTTGCCAGCAGCTCACAAGTGGACATCTCCTACGAAACTTCCCCGCACTTTCTAACATGTTTCAACATGTGGCTCAACAACATCCGTTATTTTCAATGCGCAGTACACTGGCGCCTTTCACTGTGCGGAGAGTCGACGCCATGAATGAAACAAAAACGGGTTAAAACGGCGATTCTCGACTAAATCACTGCCACTCCTTTTTAGCTTCAGAAGGTCATTTAGCGGAAATGGACCATATATAGTTCTGTACTAAGTGCTCATGCCCCTACACCATGCGAAAAACCATTTTTAAAAAACGTCCCACGCCCTGGAAACCTCCCTTGTTAGAGGGGAACAGTTCTTCCCGATTAAGCCTGACCGGTTGTTGATGTGGATTGCTGCGATGAAGTAGTAGATGTGATCGACTTGCCACTGCCTAATAATAGTTTTATTTCACCTGGATATATAAATCGATGCTGCAACTCCAACGCTTCCGTTGTGGACTGCTTGATAAGCATTTATCGAAAGATATTCATAGATTTGGCTAATAGTGGATGGACTGTCTCCTCCCTCTCACTCTCACACAACTGCCACAATAGCTCTCGTCTGCATGAACTTTCAGAGCTGCTGCTGGATTCTAGGCCCCGCAAGGATTCCCATTTTCTGAGACCAACAGTTTCTCCAATTGATCTAGAAAGGCATGCCTAGTCAGAAAAGGACAAAAAACGCTGCAATAAGGAATGGTTGGCGCTCTTGAGCTGTTGTATAGTTTATAGATTTATGAAAAGGTTCCTTGATAAGTTTTTAAGTTGAAACTCTCACAAAAAATCAACCAGGAAAATCGCATACAAAGAAGTGTTTTTCAAAAATGCTCGAAAGCTCATGCCATTTCACATGCCTAGGTCGTATTGGACGTACCATATGCGTGTGTGAGTTGGGATCATACCGCCCCAAACCTACGTCTGCACAGCTGATGATACTTTACCTGGGGTAGACAAATTCACTGAGCCTGTAGCTGAAGATGATGCAAAACCCTCGCTACCCACAGAAAAAGAAGAACCTGATTATAAAGGGGAAAATGTAACTTCTTTTGAAATTTTGTACTTGTTTCAAACAGTGCACTGAATGCCTGCGTATACATTCATAAAATCTGTACAACAAAGGTTGATTGCATATGGGGTACCTCTACAACCTTATTTTGCACGAACTACTGTACAGAGGCAGACGTCACACGAAGCTTTTGAAAGTGGTGAGGTCTATTAGCAGCGTTTTGGCAGTAGTGGTGATACAACTGTTTGAAGATAGACAAACTTATTAGGAAACAAATGTAGCAGCCTCAAGGAGTTAGAGTTCGACATGAGCCTTACATCAAGCTGTCCTTGCAGGCGTGAGGCTGTTCAGTTGCAAGCGGAATAACCGTGAAATAGAGGCAGTTTCTATAGAAAACTCTCTTAGCGTGACGGCTCTGAAAATGGAAAATGAGCAGCCAACAGCTTGCTCAGTTGATAAAGTCAGGAGAAATGAAAGCCGCCGTAGTTGAAATGGGTGAATTTCGGAATGCGTCAAACTCTTCATGGGTTGATGAGCTGTACGAACAGAGTCAGGGACCGCGGAACGGTTAACGTAGGCTCACATCGTACTCAGAAGGACCACGAGTTCGTTCCTTGCCGAGGCAAAAGGCATGCCTTGCAGAAATTGCAAAAATGGTGTCTGTACCAGCGTCAGGCTCAGGTCGACAGTTGGCCAATGGAGAAGCTTCCCATGAAGAGATACGTGAACCTTTAAATGGATGAGTGTGAAAGCTAGGACGTCACCCGAAAGTGGCACAGGAAATCCGCGGACAGTATGCAGGTGATACCGATGATTGAAAAGATTCGGCCGATGAAGTTATGTCGAACTGGAACTGTGAACGTTGGATTGCTTACTGGAAGGCTAATACAGGGTGCGCCATAAATATGGTAACAAAAGGATTGGGCAACAAAAACCGCAGTTCATATCGGTACACGGTGAATTCATGTAAGTTATTTATTATGCATGACATCTACAAAATGATCACAAGATCATCTATATAATCGTCTCCTGTACTACATACATCATTATAGCTCAAAGATGCTATGGCAAGGAAGCACAGGCTTTCCTCTCCAGTATGAACTATATACAGCAACCCATCACATTGTGGCCCGGGAAATTCGTAGCAGGATTGGAAGCTGCGATAAAGTCGCGAACACTCCCTTGGCACCAGTCTTATCTTTTCCCACTCGTGAGCATGTGCGCCATAGTTTTCAAATCGTAACCGTTGAAGAATTTTCGACCCTGAGCTGCATCCTTTCAGAAGTACCCTTCTTAAAGAGCTTTGGATTAAATTTCGTACTTGTTTCGACTAAAATTTGCGATATCGCTCTGATGGTAGAGATTTTAGCAAAAACAATCATAAAAGAGGAAAAATGGCTATGAAGGCGATCCAACTCTTCTTAGTGGCTTAAGCACTCGAAGTGTG